TAAAATTATTTAGAAAAAAAATTCAGTGAAGAACTTTCAGCAGAAGCAGGTAAACTTCCATCCTTTTGATGTTTTTGTTAATGCTCGCAAACAGTGTACTTTGAAATCAGAATCACTATCATTTTATATACTTCTGATGCTCTTCATGACATTAGTGATCAGAAATGAGGTCTGACTCCCCAAACCCCTGCCTACAGAGCTAAGCAGGATCTTCCTGTAAGTTGAAGGGAGTTCTGCCCTAACTCATGGATTGTGAAGAATGAACTGCTGTTGGGTCTGACTGACTGTCGATGGATTGTGCTATGGCAGATCTGGAGGCTATTCAATGCAACTTACAAGGCTTAATAAAAACCTTCATTATTTAAAAAAAAATGTTTACCTTTGATTATCATTTTGACTTTGGGGAAGAGCAGAAGTCCTACAGGAGCAGACCCAGTAGGATAAGTGTGTGAAGTGAGGAGGAGCATTTTGAGGGTCAAAAAAGGTAGTATGTCTGTTATTATAAGCTTTTAAAATTTAACTTTTCATTGTGTTTTCCAACTACCCCATGTTCATGACTTTGAATTACATTATACAACTCTTAGCAATTTCATTTGGTTGCAGTTTTCAAAGTTAATGAAAAACACAGATAATTTTGGACAGACAATATTCACTTTCAAACATGCATTAAGATAAACCTAAAACAATGTACTTTCTGATGTAACAGAAAGGCCTAGTTCATACACAATGAAATCTTTTCATGCTGGCCACATCACTGTAACACATGATTGACAACACTGCCTACTGTTGTTCACAGAAATGGAAATTATCTCACACTTAAATAAGGAAGGAAAAGTATATAAGAGATATGCCTGTCTCCCAAAAGCTTACCAGTTACAGAATCCAATGGGAAGAAGAAACAGGGATAAAGACTCAAGGAGTGGTGGGCAGAGGGAGTGATATCTTAAAGCGCCATTCCTACAACTAGAAAGTGATTCAAACTCAGTAGAAAGAAAGAAAGAAAGAAAGAAAGAAAGAAAGAAAGAAAGAAAGAAAGAAAGAAAGAAAAGCAAAGCAAGACCTCTAGCAAGGCCTGGCTACAGGCCTTACTATATGTACAATGCCCAGATTAGCCCCATTAACTGCTTATTTTTCTGCTGGCCCACAAACTGTAGAAGTGGCAAGGCTTCCACAAGGAAGAGTGGTTACTCCCAGAAAGGACGCAGGCCACCTCTCCAACTCCTCAGTTCGCAGCAACAGTTGGAAAATAAGCAAGCAGCACTACATATAAAATACAAACTGCAGATCACGATCACTTGCACCTGTGGAGGGCTCCCCACATGCCTGGCCCCAGCAAGATGCTCCAAACATTCTGGCTATCCAGTCCAGACAGCAACACTATACAGTAAACAACTGCTGCAGTTTCTTTCCCTTTTTTTTTTTTTTCTTTTTTGAGATAGACTTTCACTATGCAACACAGGCTGGCCTTGAACTCACTTTGTAGCGCAGACTGGCCTCAAACTCACAATGATCCTCCTGGCTCAGCCTCCCAAACTCTGGAAATACAGGCACATGCCACCACACCCCGAGCTATAGGTCACAGCTGAGTATGAGGCCCAAATCACAGAAACTACAGGGGATACTGAAGACACAAGCCCCAGAACTGAAGTCTGTCCCTTAATAGTGTCCCAAGATGGCATGAGAATTAGAAGACAAATGACTCCAGGAGCTCAGAGTTACAACGCATTGTTTCTGCTGATGCCACAGCAAGGCAATCCTTTATTTTTTGTTTTTGCAGTACTG